CCCTGTCGGTGGTTCGGCCAGAAGCTAAGAAAATGTGAGGAAACGCTCCAGGATACCAAAGCTCGTGCCAGGCTCCGGCCTAGTCCTTTTCATTCATCAAGTGATTCTGACTCAAACTAGCTCTTTTTCATCAACCAACTTCAGCAAGATCTTGGGGCCTTAAGATTGCATCAGGAATCTTTTTCAGACATACGCAAGTATCAAACTTAGTCGATTTAATTGATGCATTAAGTATCAGTTACACCTTTTTACAAGGTTTGTTTGAACTAAGAATCTGACGTTTTCCCTCAGGTTTTAGATCTGCTGAATATGCAAAATGGTTCCATACATGTCATTCCTTATGTCTCTTTCTTTAGTGCTAAACTTTAACCCTTTCCTATACCAACTGTATGTGTGTGTGTGTGTGTGTGTATGTTAGACCGGCTTAATGTGTTTATGTAGTATGTTAGACTAGTTTAAGTGTTTATGTAGTTAATAAAACCTTACTTGTATCACACTTGACGTGTTCATTGTTTACTCATAACCGGAGTCAATAATCATGCAGATTTACGTTACAAACTTATAGAATTGTACAGTAAGAAAGTTATTTCCCTTAACCAGGAAATTAACGTCTTAGAATTGACAAGACAGTTGACCCTGAGTGGTCAGCTAAATATCTACAGTGGATCTAAAATATGAATAGTTAATTATAACTAGTTATGGTTAATTATTCATATTTCCCCATGAGCTGATTCGCTACAGGCATTAATCCTCCATCAAGCATAACAACAAGCAAGCTGGTGTAAAACAGCTTAATGTAAGGCTGGAAATGCCACCAAAATGAATAAAAATGCCCACAAAATTCAAGATATAAAATGCGACTGTATGAGTGCATTTTTTTAACATTTGTAACATAGACAGTTGCGTGTCTAGAAAGACTACAAATTCAGTGGATCAAGCAGTGACCGCTGGAGCCATGTGAGATTTTTGCCTGAATTGGGCAAAGAATACATGCATATTAGAGAAAATATTTGCAGTATATTTGTGTAGCATGCCAGCATGGTATATACCTAAAAGAGCTCTGTTCTGTGTGATGTGAAATTTGGACAAAATGCTCTAATTGCTTTCTCTTTTGATGGGCCTGCAGTGGGGAAAATGAAGTTGCCATTAAAACAGTCAAAACCACTCACAAAACCAGAATGAAGAAAAAGTATGAGCGCTTATTTGAGGGAATCAACCTACGAGAGAATGAAACACTCCTAAACACCATCTACACACAGCTCTACATTATAGAGGGAGAGAGAGAAGGGGTGAATGAAGAACATGAGGTTTTGCAGATGGAGAAAACAACCAGAACACAAGACACTCCAATCTGCTGCAATGACATCGTTAACCCCCCACCTAAACCAGGATTTGAGGAGAAAGACAAAATCAAGACTGTCCTTACTAAAGGCGTCGCTGGAATTGGAAAAACCGTCTCTGTGCAGAAGTTCATTCTGGACTGGGCCGATGGAAAAGCCAATCAGGATGTAGATTTCATATTTGTGCTTCCATTTCGAGAGCTGAACTTGA